GAAAAGTGTAGTATTTAGATTATATAGTAGTAATTAGATTAAATGGTAAGTGATAGGTAAATTATATAGTAATAAAAATACGAATAGCAGAAAAGGTTTAAAAAAATAGCAGAGCATAAAATAGATACCTGATATGTGAAAATAAATAGATTATATAATAGTAATTAGATTATATTATTTGGATTATATAGTGATAATTAGATTTTATAGTAGTAACCAGATTATATGGTGATAATTAGATTATATAGTGATACTCAGATTATATGATGATAATATAATCTAGAACAAGTGAGATACTATCATATCATATAATTATATTATATGGTGGTATCTCACTTTACTTAATATTTACAAGAGTTAATTTACAGCTTGAACAAAAAGTTATTGTAAATATATAATAATTAAATAAAATAAAATATTAATATAAATTATAATAAATTATTATATAATATTATTTATGATTATAATAAAGTCTGTTTATAATATAAGTAATATTTATTTTTTTTTGTTAAAGTAAATATATATGATAAAAAAAATATCAAACAAAATTATCATTCTTATTTATAAATTATTATATTTTTCTTATTATTTAACTTTAATAACCTTTAGCAATTAATACTATAGATTGAGAAATAAATTACAGTTAAAGTATAATAGAAAATATTAGTTAAAAAAAATTAAAATAAATGTTAATATATTTTACTTATGATATTTTATAATATATACATACTTAAGGTAACTATTCTTAACTATTATTATAAAAGTAAAAAAATATTTTGTTATTGTCTTATGAGATTTTAATAATTTTATATATTATTTTTTTTTTTTTGATTTTAATTTCATATTATTTTTTAAAAATTTATATATGGTATTTTGTAGTAGAAAAGGAGAAAACTCCAAAAAAAAATCTTTCTATTACAAAACATTCATATAATAGTATTAAAAAAAAACTTTTATTAAAATTAAAATAACATTTTGTAAATTGGATTAATTGAATTACTTTTTCATACTTGTAAAAAAGGTGGATGGCGCAGGCGGATATGGAAATTTCCGAGAATTTTTAGCTTTGATATCACACATCGAATAAAGTGATAATAAATAGATCTTGTCACATTCTATTAAATTCTCTTTTCAGAGTCTAAATATTTCAAACATGGATGCTCCTTTTAGCACTGAAAACAAACTTAAAATTGTCTCTAAATTCTTGCTTGATAGTCCACCCGGAGAAGTAAATGACGTTTTCAATGGTAGGTTTCCGTTAGTTTAAATAAGCGCCTGTGGTATCTATAAAGAAAACAAGAAATAGCAAACTTCCGTTTTCTGTTTCCTAAATGTTTAGTATTTTAACCAAATCATTCATTTTTTTTTTTATTTTTTTTTTAGATGTTCGTGTTTTGATGGCTGATGATGCCGCTTTTCAAGTTGGAATCTTGGGTGCCTTACGGGAATACAATACCGAGCAATATACCACTGTAAAAATTGACGATGAAGAAGTAATATCATCAACTTATATAAATTACTTTATTAAAAGTTAATTGATAATAGAATCAATTGATTTATTGTAATTTTAGGTTATATTATCCAAGTTTGGCCAAATCAAAGATAAAGTTGATTCATATGTCGATCCGAAATCTCGCCAAGTTTTCGAGTTTGATCATTTGCATAAAGTAAAGTTAAATTCTACTAATTCTATAAATATTTAGTGGGTATTATAAAATATATTGAACAATACGTTATTTCGAACTTATAAAGATTACGAGAGTTATCGAACCACATCCTCCGGATGAAACGACAGAACCGCTTAGAAGTGCTGTAGAAGCTGCGTTTACAGATTACGTTAAAGACCATTATCCGAATGGAGTATCAACTGTTTATTCTACCGAAGATGAGACAATAACAATTGCTATCGTGGATAACAAATACAATTCATTGAATTTTTGGTAAGTGTTTATTTCTTGAAATTCATTCCTTTCGAAAAGATCATTTAAATTCACACATAATTGATAGGAATGGACGATGGCGCTCAACGTGGGTTGTAAAGCCGGAATCTGGTGAATTAAAGGGAAGTTTGAAGGTGAACGTACATTATTATGAAGACGGAAATGTTCAATTGAATTCCAACAAAGACATCGAAGTATCAACTTCAACAACTGTCGAGGTAAATCAATTTTAAATAATTGTTATTTATTTATTTTTTATTTAATAATTAATTAATGATGTAAGGGTTTATAGAATCCATCTGCCGCCGCTGCTGCATACGTTAGATTAATTGGAAAAGCGGAGAATGAATATCAAACAGCTTTGAATGAATCATATATTGAATTATCTGAAAATACCTTCAAAAGTTTGAGACGTGCCCTTCCATTGACGCGGCACAAACTAGACTGGGACAAGGTTAGATTCATATTTGGCAGTTCTTTATTATATCTTTAATTGGTTAGAGACTTATCAATATTCATTGGTTCTTTTATATTTCAGATTTTGAATTACAAGATTGGACAAGAACTTGCAAACAAATAATTATTTTGACAATTATAATTTATTCTTATTTATCAAGATAATGCTGAGATTAACTTATTTAAATTAATAAAATTATAACTGGTTTCATAAATTGAGCACGATTAATCCAAATGGATAGCGCCAGAATGATTTTGTGATAGATCATGTGAAATTTTGTTTTGTTTCGTGCGTTCTTTAGCAAAAGCTCTTTTAAGCGACTTCTTCTCAACTCGACGATTCTTTTTAAAAAAAAAATTTTAAAAATTATTATTCGTGATATGATCTAGATTAAAATTTTTTAAAAAATGTCATTGACTATATATATACCTTCTTTTCATCCTTATTAATCTGCTTACGTAATTTCTTTTCTTCTTTAGATTCATTTTTTGATCTAGCTGCACCGATATTCACTTTAATGTTAAAAAGATAACAATTTTTATAAAATTGAATGATTTGAATAGTAAGATATTCAAAATAGATTATTGGCTAACCTTTTATTTGATCCTTTTCGTCCATCTTGATCTTTATTCCCTCTTCATCATCCTTCTCTTTATTTTCAACGGACGACTCCAATACAGGTAAACCAGACTTTTGACTGATATTAATCTTTTGATGAGGTATTTCTCTAATTAGAATAGGATGATTTTCGAAATTCGAATATGTACCTAAAGAAAAAGAAAATTATCAAAAAATTTAAAAATCTTTACTTTATACAATAAAACTATCCTTTTTTGCTTACTCAAAATAGATTGACAATCCCAGGCTTCTTTTTTTATGCTTTCAACTTGTACCAGTCTATCTCTACTTTTCTTTTGATTTTTAGATCTATTATTTTCACTTTTATCACTACCCGAGCCATCTTTTTCGTTTATTATATTATCTTGACTGACTCCATCATTTAAATTAATTTTTCCTAAACTTCTTCTTACGGTTTCTAATTGATCTTGTACATTATCACCTTCCAATTTTTGTACAATTTTACAACCACTAATTTCATACTTATCAAGAAATTCATCAAGAATTTGCGAGAAATCTTGACGTATTTGTGAGGAAGACGTTGATTTATCATCGGATTCTATATCTTCTTCAACTTCCGTATATTCCTTTTCAATCTTTTATCACAATAAAAAGCATTAGATCATATTAAAAAAAAAAATTAAATTTAAATATTCTTTTACCTTTTCGAATTGTTCATCTAATAACCGAAGTTTATCATTTCTAAACATAATAGAACTCGTCATTGAATAACCACCAGTAGTTCTTGATCTCTTATCATCATCATAATAATCATCTTCATCTTCGCTCTTCTTTATTCGATTTTTAAATTTTTTAAACTCCGATTCCCAATTTTCAATTTCTTCTTCAGGTTCGAAATCCTCCTCTTGTTCTTCATAAAATTCGTTGTTTTCGGCATTTAATGCTGAAAAGAATTCATCATCCAAATCATTTTCCACATATTCATCATCTTCAAGCGCTTCTAACGTTTCTCGAAGTCTTGGATCCATATCAGGCAGAAATCCCTGTATATCTGTAAAATCAATGTATATTATTAGGATAAATTTCGAATAGATGTGCAAATTAATTATATTATACCTTCAGGGATTGCTGATTGATTTAACAGCCCCACAGGCAATTCTTCCTTTGATGGTAATACTTCTTCTGGAAGTAATATCCTAACTTTTCGGTCTTTCTTAGAAGTTGACGATGCATCCTTATATATCCCAAATAAATATATTAGAATTTAGAATAAAAGTATTCATTTAAAATTTGCTAATAGATATTCGTATGACTCAGTAGGAACAATTGGTTAAAAATATAACCTTTCATATATTTGAAAAAAAAATATCAATGTCTCTCATAATATCATCATAATCTTAACAATTCAAATCCTTTTTAAATTAAATAAATGTTATCTTACTTTATTATCTTCTAATTCATCATCACCCTTTTTTAATTCAATATTTCCACCTTTCTTCTTTTCTCTCTTTTCTCTTTTTGGAGCTTCAATAAATATTGCTCCACCTTCATTTTCACCAATTGGTTTTAAATGTTGGAGATAATCATATTCTGTATCATCAAATTGTATTCCGTATAATGCTGCTTTTCCAACACGACTTTTATTTCATCAAAATCAGACAAAAAAAAAAAGTAATTATTATTTAAGTATATAGAAGAAAATAAAAAAGTGAAAAAAAAAAGAAACCTTTCAATTTCATCTTTTCTTTGTTGATCATCAATATCATCAATATCATTATATTCAATTTGTTTGTTTTTTCCCTAAATTTTATTTCAAGACATTATTCATAAAGGTTAACTTCTTTTAAACCTTTAAATTTAAAAAATAAATATACATTCATGAATATCATTTTTATATATATATATATATATGTAACTTTTCGAAAATTCTTTCTTTTTCATAAGGAACTAAAAAAAAAAAAATTATTTGAATACTGATTACCCTCAAGTTAGTTGGAACAACTTCAACTAATACTCTTGAAGAAGCTTCATGATCGCTTATTAAAGGATCTTTTTGTGATCTATGGACTAAATGAAAATGCCTTGCATTCTTACGATCGATGAATGGTTTTTTACCCATTTTAATTAATGATTGAATTTGAGAAAAGTTTTTTTAAAAAAGGAAAAGTTGTCAGGTGACAGTCAGCCCAAAATGGCAATATATTGTGAAAATCCGTTTATTGACCTCAATCATCATCTGGTTCACAAACCGAACACGCTCTTTTTTCCATTTTCAAAAATATAATGTCAGATTTTCGAGTTACCAAGCCAAAATTCTTTGCAACAACAAAGAAAGGTGAGCCTTTATCTAGTAATAAATAAACAAAACATCTATAGCAGTTTATTGAACGATGAGAATTCTTTGAAACCAGGTTTTGATCCAAAATATATCTATTAAATTAAATTGTTTTTCGACACCTCTTTTGAACTACTCGAGTCCTTATTTATTGAACCTCACAAGAGCATGGTGGCTTTCTGGCAAAAAGACGTTTTAATATTATAAATTTATTACGATCTTCGTGGATAATCTCGGCTTAATTAATTCATTATCTAATTTTTTGTTTCTTTCAATTTTTTTTCTTTTAGGCGAAAATTATGAACTTCGTGCTGACCTTAATAGTGAATATCGTGATCGTCGAAAAGATGCAATTAAAAAAGTCATTGCAAATATGACAGTTGGAAAAGATGTTTCGGGATTATTTCCGGATGTTCTGAAAAATATGCAAACTGAGGATTTAGAGCAAAAGAAATTGGTATATTTGTATTTAATGAATTACGCTAAAACTCAACCCGAATTGGTAATTTTAGCGGTCAATACTTTTGTAAAGGTGAGATATTTATAGTGAAATTTATATATTTCATATGACTTTTTTTTATAATTATAATTTATTCATTATAACAGGATACTGATGATCCCAATCCATTGATAAGGGCGTTGGCTATTCGTACTATGGGATGTATTCGTGTAGAGAAGATAATTGATTATCTCTGTGAACCATTAAGGAAAAGTTTAAAAGTAATAGTAAATTACTTTTGTTCATTTATTCATTAATTGGTTCTTCATTTTTTTAAAAAGATATAATCTTGATTATTGTAGGACGATAATCCCTATGTTCGAAAAACTGCTGCAATATGTGTAGCAAAGTTGTATGAATTAAACCCAGAATTAGCCATTGAAAATGGATTTGTTGCTGTTTTGCAGGATATGGTTTCAGACGCGAATCCTATGGTATATACTCTTATAGTTCTAATATATAGTGATAATGAAATAATATAACGTTACTTACTCATTATTTATTTCTATTTTAAGGTAGTAGCAAATGCTGTAACAGCACTTGCAGAAATAAACGAAACATCTACGACAAAAGACATTTTTATAATTAATCCATCAACACTTACAAAACTTTTGGTAGCGTTAAATGAATGCACAGAGTAAGGCGTGATATTATCATAATTATTAAAGAAAATTATCATTTCATATGGATTGTAATCTTATTTTCTAACATACATTTTGTGTGCAGATGGGGTCGTATAGCAATTCTAACAGCATTGGGGGATTATCGACCTTTAGACTCAAAAGAGGCTGAACATATTGTTGAACGTGTAATTCCACAATTTCAACATGTTAATGGCAGCGTAGTATTATCCGCAATTAAGGTGATAAAATAGTGAGGTTTCATATTTCTTCAAGGGGTAAACTCCCTCTAAATAATAATATTAGGAGGTTAACAGGCAGAATTATATTTTGGAACAGGTGATAATGATTTACATGAGGATTATCAAAAATGATGAAATGATACGTCAACTAGTTAGGAAAATGGCACCACCACTAGGTATATATATATAATAAAATAAAAAATTAATATTGTTGTTTATTGTTTATTGTTAAAAAAGAAAAAATTTAACATATGATATATTTTAGTTACTTTATTAGCTTCTGCACCAGAAGTCCAATACGTTGCACTACGAAATATTAATCTTATTTTACAAAAACGTTCCGATATTTTGCAAAACGAAATGAGAGTTTTCTTTTGTAAATATAATGATCCACCGTACGTGAAATTAGAAAAGCTTGAAATTATGATCAAATTAGCTAACGACAAAAATGTGGATCAACTTTTATCAGAACTAAAAGAGTAAGTTGTAATAAGCGGTACATTAAATGATCACCCGAAATAATTGTGTATTAAAATAAATCGATTTTAGATATGCATCTGAAGTTGATGTGGACTTCGTTAGAAAATCTGTTCGTGCAATTGGACAATGTGCAATAAAGATTGATGAAGCGTCTGAAAGATGTGTTAATGTTTTATTGGATTTAATTAATACCAAAGTGAATTATGTAGTTCAGGAGGCTATCATTGTTATTAAGGTTTGCTTTTGATGACATCCTTTCTTATGTTTCATCAAATAATTATTCATTTTAGTCATCTCTTTTTTATACATAGGATATTTTCCGAAAATATCCAAACAAATACGAAGGAATTATCCCTGCATTATGTCAGAATCTAGATGCTTTGGATGAACCAGAAGCCAAAGCGTCACTTATTTGGATCATAGGAGAATACGCCGAGAGGATTGAAAATGCAGACGAATTAATTGTTACGTTTTTAGATACGTTCAGAGATGAAAATTCCCAGGTATTAAATCCTTAAACTGAAAAGTTTAAATTCTAATCATAAATTTTAATGACATAAATGATATGTGAACAAAAGATTGTTTCATTAATATTTATTTATGTTAACAGGATTATTTATTTCTTTTTTATTCACTTTTTTTCGTTGATTGGACAGGTTCAATTACAATTAGTTACTGCGACTGTTAAACTGTTCCTTAAAAAGCCGCAGGAAACACAAAATGTTGTTCAGCGGGTGCTACAAATTGCCACATCAGAATGTGATAATCCAGATATTCGAGATCGGGCATATGTTTATTGGAGGTTACTTTCAACAGATCCCCAGGCTGCTAAGGTAAAGCTGCTATTATTTTCACTCCTTGAAAATCGCATATTATTTTTTTTTAATTATCTTTTTTTTATACAGGCTGTTGTGTTGTCAGATAAACCAGTAATATCTATAGAGGGTAATGCTTTGAACGGGCTACTTTTGGAAGAACTTATTAGTAATATTTCATCTCTTGCGAGTGTGTATCATAAGCCTCCCGAAACATTCCTTGGTAGAGGAAGATTTGGAGCAGATGCCGTACAAAGACGAGCTATCGAGTATGAAAGACTATTTTTATATTTATAATACGTCTTTATGTTTTGCAATGTATATAATTTATTTATTGTTATTTTTATAGGGAGCAAGAGGAAGCTTCTCGAGAATCACCAATTCAAGCTCAAGTTAAAACTAATATCGAGAACTTATTAGATCTTGATTTTAACGATAATTCCACCCCAACTTCTAGTACGCCCCCTGCATCTTCATCTAAATCAACTAGTGCCACTGCCAACGTAGATGATTTATTGGATTTATTTGATAATAGCAGTATAAGTAATAATGATCTATCTACACCACCTCAATCATCATCGACTAATCATCAAAATAATGGAATAGCCAATGATTTGGTTAGCTTATTCTAATTTTGAGAAGTATATATTTAGGATTAATATTAGTCAAAAATATATATATATTTATATTTTATCGTCGATAAACCAGAAGGAACAAAACGTTAGATAGTTTTTTCTTGAGTAAGAATTTCTGAATCTCTTAAAAAACATTCAAAAAGTCATGACTTTGAAGAATATTGGCAATAAATAGAAGATACTACCGGAAAATCCAAGAATGAGTTATTGACTTGATTAATTAGGCTCCTTTTTAACTTACCGAAGCCAAATAGTAATGGGCCTAAATTAATTGAACAATGCACCTTTTTTTTTTTAAAAAAAAAAAATTATTTTAAATTTACTTTTGTCAACTTGTCTAATTAATCATAAACATTATACAAATTATAATTCTTTAGTAATTTTAAAATTGTTTTATGATAAAAAATAATAAATATAGCTATAGCACAACAAAATGAAAGTTTGTATAATTGTAATAAGATTCCAAACTTTCAAATAAATATCTATTTAATTAATTAAAGTACAATTCAAATATTATTGTAATAGATAGATATATATAATGAGTTATCTCATGGTTTCCTAATTAACGCCGTTGATTTTTTTAATGATATTTTTCACGGTGAAATGGGTTAAGCTTATAATTAGAAACTCCCTGAGATAAAATAGTTATTTCACGGATCATCCTCGATCTCATCATCATCACGGCTACGCCGTGATAAGTAATGATATCTATGGATTCCCGTGAAATAACTAGTACAAATTGTCTCCCATGTTATTTGTGCGGTTTCCTCTTGCAACAATTGGTTGAATAAAATTGCCAACTCTTTTAGCCATGTAAAATAAACTTACTTTGAGTGATTTCAGATAACGTATAAATGAAATTTTAGGAACACATTCGTTCCATTATCATTATTTGCTCAAAGAAATGATTTATGAATATAACTTGCAAAGAGAAAAAAAAAAAAATTAAACTGACAAATACCTATGAACCCTTCTTTTTAAGGTGTACTAGGGTGTCCAGGAATATGTGGCGCAAATATATGCGCATATTTTAAGATTTTTTTCACATATCAGTCACTGGTCATT